GTGAAATTACACGTAATTATTTTCTTTGACCCACTAAAATGCCACAATTATATTTTAACCCCCGAAAGGACTATATTGCCCTGAACCTTATTTTATTTACTATGTGATACAAGTTAATGACCGTTATACCCTTGAGTCTCAATTTATTGAATTATAACATATTACCATTTTGCCCTTTTGGACCTTGTTATTTAAATTTAATGTGAAAAGACCGTTTTACCCTCGGATGATTTTGGGTCGGGTAAGGACCCGTTTAATGATCCGGATCCATGAGGATTTGGGTTGTTACAGATGGAGTGCAAAAGGATAGTTGATTCAAGGAATTTTCCTTGTCTTGTCTGGCTTCGCTTGGATCATATCATCCTATGAACTAGCCCTGCCTTACTTGCTTGATCTGAAGCTTGAAGCAGATCCACAAAATCTGTAATCTCCAGTCAATATTTCGCAACAGACTTTCTCATATTATCCATCTCTCTCCCTCAATCTATCTTTCTATAAATACACACAACCATATACATGTATATATATATCTCTTTATCTTCTTTTTTTTTTTTTTTGACAAAAAATCTGAACTCATGTCCTATGCGTGTTGCCGGCGTGTCTTTCACCTTGTCCGGCATGAAAAAAATGATAAAAAAATAGGACACCTCTATTGAGATTTTATCTCTTATAGTACAGCTGTAGGATTGAATTATTTACTCCCTGATTTAGGGCTAATTGGTAGGTAATTAGTTATCTATTTTAGCTAGGTCCTATTCTATAAATTGGATGTAACACCTTCAATGAAAATATCAAATATAGTTTTAATTCTCATATTCTTTCTCTGAATTTCAAGTTGGTATCAGTGTCTACCGAAAAAAAGGCTTTGAAACTCTTTGAACCGTACCTCTGAAATTAAGTCAGACCTAAACTCTCAAATTTTTTATTTTATTTTATTATTATTATTTTTTTTTCAATTTTTTTTCTTCCACTTTATTCCTTCGCAAATTGCACTAGCACAGCAGAGCTGCCAGCTTTGCCGCAGCATAAGAATCCTCACCGACGATTTCTTTGCAACCAGCCACCAATCCTCATGCTGCTGCTCTCTGCCGTTGCTACTGTCGCGGCCATTGGCGAATCTGCCCCTTCTTAGGCCGAAAAGCTGCTCCCTGCCGTCGCCGGATCTGCCATTGTACCTGCTGTCGCTGATCTCTGCCGTCCAAACAATCAGGAATCGGACAAATTGGATTCGAGCGGTATTAGTTTTGATCAAAGTGGTGATAAACGCCCAGAAATGGAAAATATGGCGCCAACCCCATCGTCGTTCGAGTTCGAGTCCCTCGCAATTGATATATCAAACCAATCGTCTGTTGAGGATGTTCCTGATTTAGTGTCTGAGCCACTCAGAAAACAATTACCACCGCGTTACACTAGAGGTATTCCTAAACCCACATATGAACCCGAACTTTCTAGTAAAGTTAAGTATCCTATGAGCAATTATGTGTCGAACCATCGTTTGTCAGAATAAAATTTGTCATTTGTAAATCAATTATCTACTATATCTATTCCTAACAGTGTGTAGGAAGCCTTAGCTGACCCTAGGTGGAAAACATTTATGAACGAGGAGATGAAATCCTTGGGAACTCATTGATCCTCCATTAGGAAAGAAAGCAGTTGGATGTCGATGGATTTACACTATAAAGTATAAAGTCGATGGCACAGTTGAATACTTTAAAGCAAGATTAGTGGCAAAAGGTTACCCCCAAACCTATGGAATCGATTACACAGAGACATTTGCACCTATAGCCAAAATCAACACAGTTCGAGTCTTGTTGTCTTTAGTTGCGAACTTGGATTGGCCATTGCAACAATTCGATGTGAAGAATGCCTTTCTGCATGGTGAATTATCTGAAGAAGTCTACATGGATCTCGCACCAAGATGCATGATACCCGAAAAGTATAGTTGGAAGGTCTGCAGGTTAAAGAAATCATTATATGGGTTGAAACAATCTCTAAGAGGATGGTTTGGAAAATTCACAAAGTCAATGATAGCCTTTAGCTACCGTGAGAGTCATTGTATATGTAGATGACATGGTGGTTACAGGGAATGATCCTAAAGAAATAAAGGCTCTCAAGAAGTACTTGTTCAGAGAATTCAAAATGAAAGATCTAGGTCCTTTGAGATATTTTCTTGGGATCAAAGTATCTCGATCTAATAAAGAAATCTTTTTATCTCAAAGAAAATATGCCTTAGATCTATTACACGAGACTGGCATGACAGCATGTCAACCAGCTGAGACACCAGTGGAAGAAAGACTGCAGTTATGTGTTCAGTCCAACCAAGTACCTGCTAATAAAGGAAGATACCAAAGACTTGTAGGGAGATTGATGTACTTAGCACACACTAGACCAGATCTGGCTTATGCATTGAGCATTGTTAACCACTTTATGCATGACCCTGGAAAGCAACATATGAATGCAGTTATGCGCATTTTGAGGTACTTGAAATCTGCTCTTGGAAAAGGAATTTTGTTCACTAAAAATGTTGGTTATCAAAACATAGATGCATATACTGATGCTAATTGGGTTGGAGCTATAGATGATAGGCGATCTACTTCTGTTTACTTTACTTTTATAGGAGGTAATCTTGTTACATGGAGAAGCAAAAAACAAAATGTTGTTGTTCGCTCGAGTGTGGAAGCTAAATTCAGAGATATGGCACTTGCACTTTGTGAAACATTGTGGTTAAGACTTCTCTTGTGGGATTTGGGTTATCTACCTGGGCAACCTATTCGACTATTTTGTGACAATAAAGCAACATGTGATATTGTCCATAATTCAATTTAACATGGTCATACGGAGTATGTCGAAATAGACAGATTCTTTATTAAGGAGAAGTTGGATGGGAAAATAGTAGAGTTGCATAAGATTCGATCTGAGAATCAACTAGCCGACATTCTCACCAAAGTAGTCTCAAATTAAGTGTTTTCAAAATTTTTAGACAAGTTAGGCATGTGTGACATCTATGCACCAACTTGAGGGGGAGTGTTGAGATTTTATCTCTTATAGTACAACTGTCGGATTGAATTATTTACTCCCTGATTTAGGCCTAATTGGTAGGTAATTAATTACCTATTTTAGCTAGGTCCTATTCTATAAATTGGATGTAACACCATCATTGAAAATATCGAATATATTTTTAATTCTCATAATCTTTCTCTGAATTTCAAGAACCTCTACAGAGGTGTCAGAGCCTCGGACACGTGTTCGATACCGGTACGACAGCCCATTCCCACATGTCGGTGCTTCATTGGTGTATATATATATATATATCTAAATGATGTTTTGTGTGCATCTATTGTATCCCAATTACAGAAAATGAATAACAGTTTATTCTCTCCCTTAAATATTTTTCCTAATTTATTTATTTATTTTTTCAATCATATTACAATGTTTATATATAGAGAGAGAGTTTAGGTTGCATTTTGTTGCCACTTATCCTTGGTTTGGTCAGTTTATTTATTTATTTATTTATTTTTATCGATAAGGGCAGAGCAGTGTATGCCATACATATTTATACAAATTTATATATAATGTCTTCCTAAAATTATTTTAATTTTAAAATTATCTCTTAATTTTTTATTTATTTTTGCTCTCTTTCTCTCTCTCTCTCTCTCTCTAAATTCTTTGAAAAAGTAAAATTTCTTTGCTTCAATGCTTCAATGCTTTAATTTTTTTTTTTCTTTTAAAGTGATGCTATTCTTGTTTTCTTTTTCCCTTTTTTCTTCTCTTATTTTTTTCCTTTTTCTTCTACATCTTCTATTTTCTTCTAAATCTAATTGCTTTCACCATCTCAACTCCATAGGTACATTTAGTTCAAATAACATTAATAAACTCCTAACACCAATTAAAGAAATTACTAAAATTTCAGGATATGAGACATACGCTCTAATCTTACATACTCTCTGTCTCTCAAGACTCGCACAAGTCTTATTCTAGGAATCTCATATCATTCATAAATATTTACTCCCTTAAGGTATTTGTTTCTCAACCAAGGGCTCTATGGTCCAATAGTTTTTCATCTAATTTTTAAAGTTGATGATGAGAGTTCGAATTTTCAAAAAAAAAAAGTGAGTGTGTGGGTGAGAAGTGCGTGTGCTTTTTGCCAATAACAAAATAAATAAATAAATAAATGGTATTAGTGTCTCTACAATGTTGTGTATGTTTTTGGCTATAAAATTTTGCAGCGTGCCAGAGTCTATTAACTCAATTAGAGAATAGCCAAACCTATCCGTAATTATAAGCGAACTTAAAATTAGTCTTTAAAGAAATTCAGGTGACTATTTTAGAAAATAAAGATTACGGCTTTCCGTTTTGGATTCTTCAATGCCTCAATGAAGAGGACTTTTAAAACATAGGATAAAATTGATGAACGTTCATCAACTTGAAAAGATAAACTCAAGAAATAAAAAAAGGAGGAAACTAAGTTAAGCGTCCTAATTTTATTTAATAAGCAGAATTCCATTACAAGAATTACAAGTAAGGAATTTAACGCAAACTAGAAAACTACTCCTAAAGCAAATATTAGGAAAGGAAAATAAGAAAAAAAAGGAAATACTGAGCAATAAAACAAACAACCAAACAAAACAACCCTACACACAAAACAACCGAACAAAACAACCCTACACACAAAAGCATAAGATAGACAACAAACAGTGCCACCATAAGATATGGTCACAAAGATTCTACGACCACACAAGCATTTTACAGCCCAACCCATAGTCATCTGGTAATGCTTAAATGCAAGCTACAAAGATGGGCTTAAAACTGCACCGAATTGAACATCGGTTCTATCAAACATACCCACCAGTGATTGGGCTAAGCAACAACCAAAAAGGCCCGTATGGTTATGCACATTCCAACATCCATGAGTATCTTCTCCTAAGCCTATTCAAACCATGTAAAATGATAATACATGCACTAACAGATTTATACTTGGTAGTTACACTATTTATGAAATTTATTTTTATAGTTAAATAGGAAGAATTTAAGAGTAATAAATCTCAACGTATCATGTAGCACATAGCTGAAAAGAAAAAAAATTAAATTTAAGGGTGCAAACCGTGTATATCTCATATTATTGATACATTTTAAAAGTATCATTTAGTCTAAGTGTGAAATGAGTTAGTTTCAAAAGGTCCAACTCAAATTTAGAAAAAAACAAAGAGAAGGAGAAGAAAAAAAAAAAAAAAAAAAAATTGAAGAAAAGAAAGAGAAGGAAATGAAAAACAATAAGATCGTTAATGTCCGTAAATATGTGGAAACTACAAAGCATTGACTTGATAGTTTAATTTTTCTAAAATTAAACAAAATAAGGGTAATTGGGATGAGTTGGGCAATTTAATTGGTATAGGCATTTTTATTTATTCGGTAAAAAAATAATAATAAAAAATAAAATAAGATTATATTGAACAGAAAATTGGAGTTTTAAAACTAAAATAGAAGAAATTAGAGAAAAATAATTAAAAAAATTGAATAAAAATTTTCTCTCATTCTAATTCTAGGATTCCAATTCTATACCCTGAATAATTGAAAATGAAAAATAATTTTAAAGCTGAGAAAATAGGGTGAATAATATAACCATGTAAGGCGACCACCCACACTTGATTCTTCATATATAGACGTCTTGGTACAACTGCTCGATCATCATCATCATCCACTATGTCCAATAATCTTGGTCCCTAACTCCAACAATGTCTCGAATCATCAATTGCTCAAAGGGTGTAAACTCGGCACTATTAGGCTTCTTCTTAACCATTACATACTCTAATCAGCAGATACCCAACACCTGCTCGAGCTCAAAAAATGCCGCTGGTCTGTGTGCCCACTATCTGCTCGATTAAATGCCTCAATCAGACTCCCTTTAGCAGCCATTCCTATGATGGCATGGCGCCAATTATGAAATTGTAGTGACACCTTCTAAAGAAGAGTCCACTACATTAATGAACAGGATGGCTATCTTTTAAATCTTAGTTCTTGGATGAATTATTTATTTATTTTTTATGATCTTCTACATGCCATGTTTAATTATTTAAGGATTCGTTTCGACATGAATGCTAATTCTTCTTATTTTAGTTTAAGCTCTCGTTCTAGTTTAATTTGAGGATTTCTTTGTGATGGATCATCTTCTATTCTTTGTTATCTACATGATCATGTGATACCAAGGGTCTCGAGCAGCTTATTTATAAATACACACACACACACATATACTCCTCATGCAGCTCATGCTTTCCTGCTTTCAACTTCCTTCTATATTGTTTAATTCCCCAAATTCAATATTTTTAAAAGGGTGTTGCCCCTTGCTATATTTGCTCAATCATGCGTAAATGCATGCGTTAATGAAACTTGGAGTACTAGCACATGCAGAGTTCAACTTGAACATTAGTTAACATTTGAAAAAAAACACAAAAACTTGAACAGAATTTGAAAACATTGCATTGCCCTGCAACAGGAATATACATACATACATATATATATATAGTTTCCTAATGGATCTTCATGTTTTGACATATCTACTCAATCTAATTTTCTATCAGGTTTACCACTCTTTAGGTGTGTCTCTACAAATAGTCCACAATCTCTATAACTGTTTCTCATGTAATTTTGGTACCTTCAGACTTCTGATAAACGTACTCTTCTTGCCACAGAGGAGGCCTTTGTGGAATCCCTTTAAAAGGTTATGGGAGCTGCTGTCAATCTGGTGGAGTAAGGTTTTTTCACTCTCTTATATAAAATTATTAAATTCTGCAGTTCTGAGTATATTAATTATTTTCTCTCAGTATTGAATTGATGAGAAGAACTCCATTTCAAAAGTAGCAAATGAGATTAGGTTACAGCTTTAGCATACATTTAGTAAGTTTCTAATCTACAAGACAGGCTCTAACAAACTTGAAAATTTAAAGAGTTGTCACATAGATAGATTGATTTATCTTGTTATGGTGTTAAATAGCTGTACAAAAAGTTCAATTTATTTGCAATCTCTATAACTGTTTCTCATGTAATTTATAGACGACTCCCTCTCTCTTCATGCCATAATGACACTCTATTCACACCATAAACGACACTCCTAGACCACAGCCTCTATTTCGTAGCAAACAAGTGTGAACTATATATCTTCATATATATATATATATATATAAAACAAATTGCACTAAACCCCCCGGACTATAATCCTACACTAGCTAGAAGGCACAAAAGTAAGAAAAAAAGGAAAAAGAAATGGAGAGAGTAGGAAAAACTGACAAAGAAGTGTAACTGAAACAATAGCTCCATATATAAGGTGGAAAAGACTTGGAAGGAAAAAAAGAAAAGAAAAAGAAAAAGCAAGAATTCATGGACTGTTGCTTGCAAGCTTTCAGAACAGTTTTCAACTTTTTCACAAAAGGGCATCATATATGTTACTCATGTATGCATAGAGTTGTATATTATTGAAGCCTTGTGCACATTAACTAATTTGTATACACACAGAGACCACACACAAAGGGTAAAGATCGATGGATGATCCGTCCTTGAGACCAAATGTTGCGTCAATTATTATATACGCGGGTGTTGTTTTGATGATCAATAATTTATCCTTGATTAATGTTAATAATGGCGTTACAGCTGATGATCAATATTATTCGCCACAATTTACAGCTATATTTGCTTTTGGAGATTCGTTGACAGACAATGGAAACAACAACCACCTAAATTCTTTAGCTAAAGCAAACTACGTGCCTTATGGTGTTGATTTCTATGAAGGACCTTCCGGGAGATTCTGTAATGGAAGAACCATCATAGATTATCTAGGTAAGTACCTAATTACTCTGCTTTCAGTTTTTGCATATCTTATAATTTTATTTAGTTTTTTTCAATCATGTAATTATTATATACCCACTTGATCTATGACACTCAAATACGTACAAATACCTGAATTTGATTGATATTTGTGATTTGCTGGTGATTGCCTATATATATATATATATTCATGAAATTTCACAATTATTTCCTTATAGTTAGCTTAAATATAGCGGCGTTCATTTTGAAATGGAACTACCTACCTGTATGCAATATTTGCTCCTCATCTTCTTCTTCTTCTTTGTTGTTAAGAAAAGTAGATTTGGTTGATTTACCTTTTCTTGTCATCTTTCAAATTTTTCAACAAATGGGTCCTACCATGTTTACGAAAATACACTTGGCTGAGTTGATGGTAACTCAATACTACTCCTATTTTTTATTTTTATGTTTCTAATCAGACAAACTTTACATGATCGGTTCAAGACCTTTTTAAATCCATATTTAATCCATTTTTTCCCCTAGATCCTCAAATACTTGTGTGATATTATTATTTATTTCATAACATTGAAATGTTGGGGCTAAATTGAATCTGAATCATTTCTTTTACATTATTATTGTGATTTACTTTAATTTTAAATATATCAAATTTCAATTTTTATCGGAGATTGTTTTTTACTATTGCTCTGTCGAAATTACTTTTGTATAGGGAATTCAACTAAAATGTATTATGTTAATGATATTTTAGTTGAAGATTTTGAAATTATTTGATATATACAATAGCGTGTAAGTATGTAAATGTACTTGTTTTATTTTATATGTAAATGTACTTGTTTTATTTTAGAAGAAAATATTGTTATATTAAGTTAACATAGGTGTTTTCTAGCATATAAGACAATGGCTATTGAGAATTAATCCAAAGATGGTTGAATGAGAATGCGGCACGTATACTCTTGCAAAGGTTTTCTTTTGTAACTCTCATGAGAATTAAGATATCAATGCATGATCATTAAAAGTGCTACAACACGAAAGCAAGTCTAACGATAATTATATGTGTGTCTAGTGACGGACCCAGGAATTTTTTTGGGGGGCATCGTCGAAGAATAAAAAAAATTGTTGACAAATTTGAAAAAAAAAATTTGTGAAGTGGGCCATTTTAAAAATTGAATGGGGGCATTTTTGAAATTTTAACTAAAATTTTAGGTAATAATATAAATTAGAAAAAATTCAGTGGAGAAATCAGTGAGGTAAAAATGTGAAGGGGGCATTTAAAAAAATTTAGGGAGGGCATTTTTGAAATTTTAATTAAAACTATAAGTAATAATGCAAATTAAAAAAAATCCAGTGGTCCTGAACTAGGTCTGTGCCTGTGTGTGTTGTGTTGAAATTTGATTAAGGGATGGAGTTCAAGTATTAGTCTCTTAAGACCCTTAAATGGAGATTGCAACACTACATCCGAAGTCTAGTTTGGAAGAGTCTTTCAACTATTTCATTAGTGTTAGTTGCTTTCTTTATTTTGTTTATTAATAGAATTTTTTAATTTGATATTTAATTTGAAGGTTTATAAACCAATATTTAAATATTTAATAAGCTATTACCCTTATATAGGCAAGATAGCCAATAGACAATTTTGGTTACAACACTTTTTCAGTAGCATATAAATACCATGTTATTTCAATAGACGGAAAATATAATCAAATAATCTTCTTCCTAGTAACAATTAAGTCACCTTGTTTCATTCCCATTTCTTCCCTCCAGCCCAAAATATTATCTTCTATGGTTTTTATTGCACATTTGAGCTTTTGGCAACATGACATCCAAACTTTGTGATTGTCCTCTTTAAATGTGCTCATGGATGACTTTGGAGTTTTATTTTCGGAACTTTGATGATCTGTCATTACCTATTTAAATGAAGACTAAAAAGATTTTAGAACAGTGTGACATCACGTGCCTCTCTGAGGCCAGAAGTTTATTTGTTCTCTTTTAGTTTTTGATATGTTTATTTTGCACATTGTTTATATATTGGTCTATTTTTCTTTATATTATTTTTTATACAGAGTTATTTAAAATTGAGTTCTTAAATAAATAAAATGGTTTTGGAAAAGTAAAAAATTGTTTATAGATACTTGAGTAGAAAAAAATGAGCAATAGATTTTATTAATTGAATTTACCCCACCAAAAAAAAAAAAAAAAATATATATATATTTTATTAATTCAATACTTAGAGTAGAAGTTTCAATTACGATATTATATGTCTGAAATATTGCATTGTTTGGCAATGCTTTAGCTTAACGTTGTGCTTCTGCTTAGCCCAAGCTCCATCTTTGTGAGAATTTTGCAGGAGATTTGTTGGAACTTTCTTATGTTCCAGCCTTTGCAAACCCTTCCGCTACAGGAAGAAACATTCTCAGGGGAGTAAATTATGCTTCAGCTGCGGCAGGAATACTTGATGAGACAGGACAACATTTAGTAAAGTCCATTTTCAGTTTTTTTTTTTTGTATGTGTATAATAATGTATATATATATATGCGTGTGTGTGTTTTTATATACATGGTATATGTGTGAATATATTACAAGTTAATGGATCCTCTCCAATAACATTTATCTTCAAACATCTCCAAGACTACAACGAAAGATTATGAAAGTGCCCTATTTATTTATGATTTCATGCACAACTTGGTGACCATTGGATGTTAGTTTGGAGAAGATATCTGAAGAGAGAAGTTATTGGAGAGGATCTAGGTGTGTCGCCGATCTTAAAGTCATCAAAATGATCTACTAACATGACGACGCAGGGTGAACGGTTCAGCTTAAGGCAACAAGTTCAAAATTTTGAAAGCAGCTTGAGTGAATTGAGGAACCAAATGAGGGAGGAGAAAGAATTGAGCCAATATTTGGCCAAGTCCTTAGTTGTAATGATTCTTGGTGGCAACGACTACCTCAATAACTATCTTCTTCCTTCTTTATATCCCACTAGTTATGTTTACAATCCTAAAGACTATGCCAATCTTCTCATAGACCACTACACAAGACAAATCATAGTGAGATTCAGACAATTATATATGTTCTTCATTTCATTTGATAGATAGCTTAAATTATCGAGTTCTAAAGTTTCGAAAATTTATGTATTGCAGTATCTGTATAATTTAGGACTGAAAAAGTTCTTTTTGGGAGGAGTTGGACCACTTGGTTGCATTCCAAACCAGCTAGCAACTGGTCTTGCTTCACCGGGGAAGTGTGTATCATTTGTGAATGATATGGTTGGAATGTTTAACATGCGGCTAAAATCTGTTGTTGATCAGCTCAATACAAAGTACCCAGACGGAATCTTTATTTATGGCAACACTTTCGGAGCATTCAGTGACATACTTGACAACGCTACTGCTTACGGTAAGAACATAATTTATATATATTTTTTCTTACTCTTACCGATTATGAGTATTTGAACCATCCACCTTCTACGACGTACTTTTGATATTGTAGGATTTAATGAGAGTGAAAGAGGGTGTTGCGGTATTGGAAGAAATAAAGGACAGATAACTTGCCTTCCATTTTCAGTTCCATGCTTGAATAGGAAGCAGTACGTGTTCTGGGACGCCTTCCATCCAACGCAAGCTGTTAATCAAATTCTTGCTCAAAGAGCTTACACCGGTCCACCTTCTGATTCTTACCCAATCAATGTAAAACAAATGGCACACATATAACTCTTTACATGCATTATTGAAAATTATGTACCAATATGCCTTATGTGATGATGATCTTTCATGATTTATCTGGAATCACAAAAATGGACAATACTTGTGCAAAGTACATTAAACATATATTATCTTACATGTCTAATGTGTGTCATATAAGTTCGTGGAAAATTATGAGATTTTATTGTTATTACTGCCTTTCAAAAAAACAGGCTACCTTTGTATGAGATAAATGGCCTGTTTGGCTGGGCTTTCTGTAGGCTCAGAACGGGTTTGTAAGTCCAGAAAATCCTTTGCCAATAATAAAGAGCGTTTAGTAAAATTTTTGAAAACGAACTTTCAAAAAATAGGCTACCTTTGTATGAGATAAAGTCTCGTGCCTAATAGTTCCTTATTTGCTATGTGGGAGTAAAAGGCCCCGAAAAAACCATAAAAATAATAGTAATAATAATTAGATAAATCATTAAAAATTTATAAAGAACTCTTCCCTTAGAGAAATACACTCAAGATAATACTCAATGGCCTAAATGGTTAATGAACTTGGGATTAAAATTCATATATGATAAAACAACCAAAAGATGGATTACTTTGAAATTCATATACAGACTCGAGCACACTTAACTTTGAGCACTACTATTATGTACTTAGACTTGATGACTCTATTTCTCTCGACTATAGAAAAAAACAACATTTACTCATACTCTCAAGCTTTTTTTTTTTATACTCAGTACAATGTCCAAAAATCCTTTATAGGCCCGACCCCTCTGGTTGGTCCTTGGCAAAACTCAACCGTCAGATCAAAAATATGATCCCGCCATTGTTCTTAGGGTGCCCAAAAAACCTAGGAATGCACCTACGTTTCAACTCAATCAGAGGTTTGTACCACCCGATTGCCCTAATTGAAGAAAATGGTGAAATAGTAACTTCACATTGGAGCACTGATTAAAGTGTCAAAACAGGAAACAAACGTCGCTAATGTGTCCGGAACGTCCACAAACCCCCAAATATATCCTAAAATTGCACTTTTCAGTGCCTCGTAAGGGCAAAACAGTCAAAATTACCTTAGGGGTGTTTTAGAAGTCATCTGATGATGTCATGTAGTGTCTCACATTTTTTGGCATTTTTTTTTGTTTTTATATTTATTATTTTTCAGCATCAATTTGCATGCTAGGTTGATTCCGATGGTTATTTAAGGCATTTATTTGAATTTAAAATTTTTAGAAATGCATTTTAGTTCATTTTGTCATTTTTGAGTTTTCAAACCCAAAAGGTCCCATGTGGGCCCAAAGTAGAATTTTTGGGTTCGGGAATTTTCTCGACGTCATTGGATTTCATCATTTATCTTATTTGGTGTATTTATATATAAGTACATGTGGCTATTGTAGGCATAATTGTAGGTGTTTATTGCTATGAGGGTCATTTTTGTAACTTTCTTAAAAGAGGTGGGGACCACCAATTAAGCATGTGACTAAAGAGGGGTCTAGAATATGATAATCGCCTAACAAACATGATCATCTCACTCTCTCTCATCGGGCTCTCTCATTCTCTCTCTATATCTATCAGTTTCTCTTTCTATAAACCAAACCCACTACATATAATCCAAGATGTGATCTACTTGGATGGTGTGTTATGTTTCTCAATTTTTTTTATTTTATTTTCGGGCATTTTTTAAATTTTTGAATTTTTTTATTTTTGTGTCTCGTTTTACGTGTCACACATCGATTAGTGTTTCACGAAGGTTTTCAATGAGGTTTGGGGTATTTATTTGAGTTTATAACTCTTAGAAATGCATTTTAAGCCATTTAGGAATTTTTCAGATTTTCGGGTCAAAAGGTCTCAAGTGAGTTCCGCACCCGGATTTTTCGCAGTCAGAATTATTTTTCGGGATTGTTGCATTTCATATATTATTATTTGGTGTATATCTATGTGGTTATGTGTTGAAATTAAATTAATGTGGCATGTTTAGGGTTATATTGTATGTAAGGGGCAAATAGACTTTTGATTGGTCAAGGTGGGGACCACAGCTTTTTATTAAGGCTTATAAACACACAATATCATATTTTATACCAATTCTCCTCCTCCTCCTCCTCCAAACCGTGACACACACACTCTCTCTCTCAAATATATTTTTCTCTCTAAATCCAAGTTTCAAGCATATATTTCATCCATTTCCTCCATGATTTGAACTTTGCTATTTAAATGCAAAGTTAACGAGCTCAACGAGGGCTATGATTTGATTGGGGCTAATTTTCATTTGGACTACATTGGTGATTTCGAATTTGGGGAAAAAATTAGGAATTTTGCTTGATTTTGAGGTAGAGGTCTCTAAACCTCACACCCTTTGATATTTGTGAGTTAATTCATTTAAATTGTATTATGGCATGTATAATTTGTGAAATTGATGCATGACCATTAGGGATTATTATTGAAGAGCATGATATTTATGCCTTATTCGGTATGTGTGTTAAATTGCATGCTTATATGAATTAATGTGAGATTATTTGATAAATTGTTACTATTAGATGTGTTATATATCTAAAATGCCTTAATTCTAAGATTGATAGCATGAGAATTGTTGTATTGGTTATTTCCAAAGCATGCAAGAATGATGGTAGCTAATGTATGAATTTTAATATTGGTATGATGTTGAAGTTCATAATTCATTCATGCATTGGCATTGGGTGAGAAAAATGAAATTGATTTTGAAATGAAAAAAAAATAATGATTTTGGAAACTGCTCTATGCGTGGTTGAGCTACCTAGGCCCCAAATGACACTAAAGAGTTACCTTATGTGAGGACCTGTCCCTTTTTCATTTTTCGGTATTTTCTTCTTCCGTTTATTTTTTTTCCAAGTTCAGGTTTTGTTGGACCGGGTTGAGTCAAGTGCTCAGGAATAGTTCCCGACATTTCCTGTATTTGAGATTTGTATTTTACTTACTTTTATTCCGTCTTTTATTATTTGGGGTTACTTGTGCGATTTCTTTTGGTTGACATTTTCATTTTTGGGGGCCTTTGTGCTAATATTTTTTGAAGATATTTTCATTTGGGGCAAAAGTGCGATTATCTTTGAGTTATTTTAGTGAGGGGACCTTTGTACAATTAACAAAAGTTAAGGCAAAATGTCTCATTTTTGGTTGGGATTCTTGTACTGGATTCCTTTTAGTATTATGTCAAGCCATGGACTCTTAGAAATGCATTTTAGACTTTTTCTCCCGTTTTAGGGTTTTTGACCTGGGAGTCACCGTGTGGGTTTGGGACTTATTTTTCTACTCGGGACTTATTTTTCAACGCTGTTTTTTTTGTTGTTCATTGTTTTTTATATTGGTGCTTTTACGTTTACGATTTTATTTCACTTGAGCGCGTTTCGACGACTTTCATTTTTCGGGGTCACGTGGGGCCGTTTAGGTGATATTTTTGGAAAGTATAAAAGAGAGTGGAGAGAGAGAGAGAAATCAGATTTCTCCCCCTCTTTGCTGTTTTTTTCTTTCTTTTTAGATGTTGTCATTCTCTCTTCCATTTGATTTTCTTCCACTTTGATTTGGCCTTTGCCGTATGAGGGTTTTCTAAAGGTCTTAGTGTGGCCTTGCTTTTCATCCGATTGTGCGGCCTTGCTTTTCATCCAATTAGATTTTCATTTTGCCCATTTTTGAGTTTTGGATTTGAGCTCGGGTTTGAATTTTGGTGTTGCCAGAAGAGGATCAGTCCCCGACATAACCCCGAAGTTTCTTCGCATTCGGAACTGTTCCGTTTTGGTGTCATTTGAGATTTTCATCTCAAATTGAGGCAGGGGTGGCTTATGTTTGTAACTTGTATTTTCTTTGGGTCTTTTGAGATGTTGGGAATTGTAAAGCACGTATACTTGTTATATGGAAATGTGAGCCTAATTGTTTACTTAGTGTATGTTGATGTTTATAATATTTAAGGCATATAATTGTTATTATTTTGTTTTGGGCTTACATTGAGTTTTGGAAATGTCAAGCATGATAGGAAGGGGTAAATTTTGGCATTTGGTTAATATATATTTGCCTATTCATGTTTTGTGTATGTATAGATGATATCATTGTGGATATTTGTGTGCATATGTGTTTATATGATTTTAGAGGATTTGGTTAAATGCCTACTTATGTAGTTTAGATATCCTTGTTGCATTGAGATTATCTTCAATCATCATGTGTGAGTCATGGTGTGTGTGCCACTTTGGCCATGAGTTCATTGTGGTGTAGCACGACATTCATGATATATATATACATTTGATCGATGGATAGATGCTATCCATAGCTAGGGTGCGGAAGGGCACTCAATTGTTTCTAGGTGCGGAATTTGAATCTGGTACAACATCATTTTGATCATGGAGTTACTTGTATGAGTTGCATCATAGTGAGGTTCATGTGTTGTGTTGAGTTAATAATTCATAGGATCATGTGGATTTCGTTATGGTTATAGTTTCGTGGTAGCCATTATGTGATAATGTGCCTAGCTTATTTGGTTCATAGTTCTTTGTGGTTATTATTTGACAACTTGGTATTTTAATGCATGGTTTGATTATGTGACTACTTGAGTTGAGTGACTATCATGCTACAGAAATTAGAGTTAGGGTGTATGATTCCTTTTTTATTTCACGAAACTTAGGCTTTAGGTTGTATGACTCTTCATCCTTGGGATGCCAAGCATTTCTTGTATGTCATTGGAATTTCGAAGAACGCATTTACTTGTATAATCCATACCTTACTGAGTGGCTGTCCTCACCTTCTATTATACAAACATTTTTCAGGAAAGGAGTCGCTTGGGACGACAATTGGAGTTGATGACATGTTTTGATTCATTTGCCATTTAAAGGGCAAATCTTAATTTAAAGGTGGAACCAACATGAGTCTTGGTAGAGTAAAGGGTGTGAGCCTGAGTTAAAGTTCGATATATTTTGCTTCATATATGGTGGATCATTTACGCTTGGGACAACGCAAAAATCTTTGAGATTTTCCAATTGGTTTTCTTGCTAAAATTCTAATGTCATCTCTCAAACTTTGCTATACTTTTCAGTATTTAGTTTTGTGGTTGTGGATGTTTAATTGATCATATTTGTGGTTAATTAATCAATTACAAAAATTAGGCAAATTGATCTAATCACTTCATCTAGGTCATTTAGAGAGTGAATCACAATTAATCAACTAATAGCTTCCCACGTAACTCACCATTTTTTTTTTATCTAATCTTTCCCTCCTAGCATTGTTCTTGAGTTGACTTTAGAAAGCCAATTTGGAAGCTTTCTCTATACGTTTTCATACTCATCATGGACTCATGGAAACTAGAAAATACGAAGGGAAAAAAAAATTCCACCTGGCATTTTAAAGCATGCAAGAATCTATTCAAAACTAAAACATCCTTAATTTTTAAGCTTCACGTATATATAAGAGCTACATAAATCCCACACAAATACATACAACATGAGATGGATGATAGATAGTGAAATTTACATAACCAACCCATATACATTGCAAGAACTCGATGAGTGCAGCACAACATGCAATATATGTTTAAATCATCAACTCAGGATGAATGAATCAGTTGATTTGGCGGCAATTTTGTCGCACTTCTCCTTTGGATCCTTCTTTGACATCCATCAAACCCATTTTGACCATGGCCTGCTGGAAATCAAAGAAGAACATGGCTTGGTTCATTGCATAACCATTGACAATGGCTCTGGTTTTGGGACTGGCGTACAAGGTCTGGTCTGAAGTAAGCACGCCGGCTTTCCTTTGCAAGGCATTGTAATAAGCATTGTCGAAAGTGTTTCTTGTGTCGTCGAATGGTTGCTCCGCGTTGTCCCCTGCGCTGCATGTCTTGGCCAGTGTCTTGGCGAAGTCAGAGTCGATGGCTGGATCCACATCATGAGTGGAGTCGAATTTACTCAATCGGTTTTTGAATGATGAGCACCTTGCCACTCCTAGTGTATGTGCCCCTAACAACATCACCACCATCATATATGCATGTATTAGTCCTATGCTGCAGTGGTGTTGTAATTTATAAAATTAATTAATTAATTCCGTCTTTCAATACAATAAATCGGATTGAAATAAATAGATTGTTGGTACATTGTTCTTTGTTTCTCTTCTATCTTTATATTATTCTTGAAATTTAATATATTAAAAATATATTTAAATGTATTCAAAAACCCTACAACAAAAAATTATATACAACTGTGAAATATATATTTTGTAATTGGCTAATTTTGGTGTCAAAAAAAGTCCGATCGAGTTGTATTTTTTAGTTTACAATTCAAGATGAAAATCGGTTGCGGAATTGATGAGATGTTCATGTTTGATAAATTGAGGTCTACAATGACCAACACTTTAAAATGTTGAATTCAAATGTTATGACACATATGTACATAATATGTTTTTTCAAAACTTAAACCCTCAATGATTTATTCCGCTGCACAACTCACAACAATTAAAAAAAACAACAAAGCTTTACATGTCATGCTATACAAGGGCTAGACCGGGTGTTGTGTTATTAGAGATTCTGAAGTCGAAACGTTACCTAACACACCACTTACTCACTAGAGTGGCAATTTTTTTTTTTTTCTTTCTTTCTTTCTTGTTTTCCGTCTCACATCTCACGACAACTAAAGTGGAAATATGGAATCAGAATCCAATATATGAATTTAGTTGTTTAATAATTTTCAATGAACTTTTATTGTTGTTCATGTGACTGTATGCCTTTCACTATTTTATGAGCACCATTTAGGGTACAAATGAAATTGGATACCTATCCTTGCCATCAGGTTAAACAATAATTAATTATTAAAAATTTAACCTAAAAAATATTCTGAAAATATATATAATTAAGGATCCAGACACTCTAAATTATGTGAAGAATATGACAAGAACATATATGTAAAATTGATATATATATATATATATATATATATATATATATAAATTACCCGATAAAGCTACCATTTCTTGAACAGTAAAACCTCGTTGAGAAAACATGGTGATAAGGTCAGAGCTATTGAAGAAGGGTGGAGGCAGGTTTCTCGTGTCTTCTATTTTAGATCTTCTTCCATCCTTCCTTCCTTTTGGTATCTCATATACTGGACCCCCAGCCTGATCCATAACAATATATATAATTAAAATTCCATTAATTATAAGTTAATTATTCATGTATGTATAAATATATGGATCATTAATCTAGCTAGCTTCTTTGTAAATTCAATTATATATATATATAGATTCTTACAAAGAAAACAGCATCCCTGGCAGCCATAGCAACAATGTCAGCACATGAAACGACGCCGGGGCATACATTTTCGAGCTGTTCTTTTGCATTGTCGATTATTTCATATCCCTGCAAACTCAAATTTGCTGGGGAGTCCTTTTCTGCTGTGTTATCTTTCGTTGAATCAATCAGAATTGAACCGTCACATCCCTGTATACACACATATATATACACATATATATATATTTTCATCACACAAGATGAATTTTAAAATATAAATAAATGCCAGAGAGAGAGAGAGAGAGAGAGAGAGAGAGAGAGAGAGAGAGAGAAATTAAGAACCTCAATGAAGCAGTCATGGAAATGCATTCTGACAAGGCCTGCCGCAAGAGTTGGATTAGACTGCAAAGCTGTGTTGACTGTATTCTTGACAATCATATCCGCAAATGGGCAATTCATCATCATATAGTAATTCATACTCAGACCATCTGCTCCAATTCTCATTCCACTCACTATTATTTCCACCACCATCATCATACTCGTCAATTTAGCAGCTGTAACCATGTTTGCTCTTTTTGGAGGACTAGTACTTGTTACCAACATGAAGCAAAAGATATCTATGCAAGAAAGAAAATACTTATATATAGATCATATATATGTTTGTGATGTGTATGTGTGTGTGTGTGTTTGTGTATATATATATATATATATATATATATATATATATCGAAGTGGAGATCAAGAATGAACAATTAGTGGTGGATTGCATGAATTGACAGGCTGATGTAAGCATTACTCAAAGGGAGAATAATGCTACCTTGATGTCCATCTCATCATAGTTGCCACGTTCTCTAGTCATCATGTTTCAAAATCGATTCTTATTAGTTGCAATTAATTCTTTAAAAGCTATGTTCGTTGACGTAATCAAGCTTTACTCGATCGGTGGAGACGCCCTGCTCGGGATAAAATTTCGAACACCTCATTTATAAAAATGCTGAAATATATGCATATTTATACCTTCCGGAAAAAAAAAAAAAAAAATGCATATTTATTCGTTTGAATAAGAATTAAAATTCATTTACAGTAACATACACAAATTAATCATCTTTTAGTTTCTATAAGTTCTTTTAACTTCATTTGTCCAAATTAAACCACCATCTCCTATAATTTTATTTTATGGTATTGTAATTTTAGTTATACCATGATGTAACTTTTAAATTAGTTTTTTTTAAGTTCAAAATGCTAATTTAAAAGAAAACTCATGACAATTATTATAAGATTGATCTCAGGATAAAATTATTCAGAGATATATATATATATATATATATATATATATATATATGAATGAATGAGAGAGAGTGATTTGTAAAGGTCATCAAATAATTGAATGGAGAATGAAAAAGGTAAAGATGGTGCGGTCTATAATTTTCTCCACCTAATCAGGTGGTTTATATGATAATCATAGTTTAATGCATGATCTGACACGCAACATATTAATTCGTACGTGTTAGCAAAATAATTGTTCATGCAAACTTTTGATCTCGTCGTTTATTGAACACAAAAAAACAAACAACTTTTACATGAATTAAAAAAAACAAACAACTTTTACATGAATAATATTGAGATTTGACAAATTTTGATTCATTGGTTGATTATTCAACACATTTTCATGGTATGCATGTACTGTAGTATTACTTACATCACCCTCTGACAAACAGGTATAGGAAGTGTTTTTTTTTTTTTTTTTGGCGGCAGGTGAACAATTATATAGAAGGGAAAAACAATAAATGATTATTATTGTTTTTGGTATAAACAAGTTGGGTTTTATGATAAAATAAATAAATAAATAATAGTATTGAGAATTTTATGATTTAAGCCCATATATATATATTAACTAAGTATAGAGACGAATCCATATCCGAAGTAAACACAAGGAATTACGATCCTTCTGTGCTAAAAGACTTTTAATCGAGGGTTTATTGTTTCTTTGATCTCATTGTTATTGTTGATAATTCGAGGGTTATCACTTCGAATGGCCAGATTAGAATTGATAAATTCACTTCGAATTGCCGAAGGGGTTATCACGAATTTCAGGGATCCATCAATGGCTTTACTGGCGGCGAGTGGCGGCGAAACTGAAACTCTTCAACGTCTGCATTTGTGCAACATTGGGTTTGGATTTGTAGGCTTATTTTGCCAATTTTATCTGAACTGGGGTTTGAAGATGGTGGGTACTAGTGGTTCATGATGGTTATGGTGATGGTGGTTTTCGCGGGTGGGTATTGGGTGGTGGTGATGGTCGGAGGGTAGGCATTGACCACACCTTCTCACCGGCGAGCATGGAGTCTGGCACTGAACTGGGTGTAAACGGACTGAACGAAACGGTGGCAGTACCGACTATATATAGAGTCCTGCAATAGAGAGAAAAATAAAATAAAATTCTTTGCTTACAGGGTATTTTGGAATTTTTTTTATAAAAAAATTAGTCAAAATTAATAATTAGGGGGTAATTTGCTCAAAAGATAAATAATACCGTAAGTTATATGCTTTTTTTTTTTTTAAATAGGGAGTTTTTATTTTTTGGATTAATTGCAAAAAAATTCCTCACTATATACAAGATGTACAAAAAAATTTATTTTATATATATTAAAGATCAACATAGAGAGGAAATGTTGTTTTTCCAATAATGGAGAGAGATAAAGCAGGGAGGACACCGGGAGCATGTGCCCTACTGAAAGTAGAGATGGTAAAAGTTTGGGTCCTCAAAAAGATAAAATGTCTTTAAAGGAATAAAATGGGTGTGAGAGTGGTGTATGTTTCTTGCCAATTAATAAAAAAAAAAAAAAAAAAAACTTCAAAACCGAGGGACTTTGAATTGGTGGAAAATGTGGGTCGAAAATGGACTTGTGATTTGAAATAAAAAAAATTGAGATGGCATTCAATGACAAATATAATTCTAAACTTTTCATTCAAAACATAAATTCAATGGTTTTGAATAATTAAAAGAGTTTTATGGATAGTAAACTATGATATATATATATCGGCACGGACCCAACATAGGAGCCCCTATTAGATTTTTTATATTTTCATTTATACCTTAAATATTTTAGAATTTACGAAGATGTCCGGCTAAAATTACAATTTACCCCAATGGATCCTTTCTTTTCTTTTTTTATTTTATTTTTTTTTATACTTCAAAGTTTTGAGAATTTATGAAGATGCCCCACTAAAATTACAATTCGCCCCTACTGAATTTATTTATTTTTTGCATTTTATACTTTAAATTTTTTAAAATTTATGAATAAACCTTATTGAAATTACAAAAATGGATCCACTATATAAGTTTTCCCCCCACAAATTAAAAGACTACCCCCCTTATAAAATTTTCTGAGTCCTGTAATATATATATATATATATATATATATATATATATATTGTATATCTAATTGATATGATAGTGATATTTTTTGGTTTTGATGTTGAGCTGATTGCTGAAATCTTTATGGTCCATTTGGACGACCAGGGGGCTAAACGGGCATGCTGATGGAGTTTTTATTTTTTATTTTCTGTACTCATATTTTATGTTTAGTAACTTTATTTTATTAGGTATCTTTCTCTATTTTTTGAAATTTTTTAGAGAAACTTTATTTTAAAGCTATTTTTGGAGTATTAGTATTCGGGATTTGATTTTTTTTTTTTATGTTATAAGGATTCGTGTTGCACTTAGTTTCCTTGTGGATTAGGGATTCGTGTTGCACTTAGTTTCCTTGTAGATTAGGGCTTTCTTTCATTATAAATGTGTAATGTAGCGATCAGAATCATTCATTCAATTATCAATACAAATGTTATATTTCTTTGAATTTATCATTCGTTTTGTAGACTCAAAACACCCTATTTTACGGATTTAAAATAAAGAGGTCATTGTAAACAAATTTATCATTCCGTGCATGTCAAGTTTAATTCAATGTCAATTGTTTAGAGATATAAAAGTGATCAAAACGAAGATAGAGAGAACAAGAAAGCAGGTTGGAGAGAAAAAGGAATAGAAGAGATGAGTAGAAGAGCGGGATAAAAGGTGTAATTGAAGATTATTTTTGTCATTTTATTTATCGGTCATACCATATTTTATGTAGCGCAAATATAACCTCTCATTCTATATTGTATTTTATTGATTGATTATTTATTTACTTAAGAGCCAAAATAAATATATAAAAATGTTGTGTTTGTTGGTTAATTTTAAGATAGATTAACATTTATTTTATTTTATTTTTTGAATTCTTTGTTAGAATTATAAATTAGTTTTGTATTTAATTTCTGATAGAAGTTTTGCTACTATATGAATAGCACTTTTCTCAAAATTCTTTTACTTAAAAAATAGGGACATATCCAAAAAAGTACGTGAGGGGCAACTCTTGGCAACAAGTCTGTGCCTGCTTAAAATAATAATAATAATAATAATAATAATAATAATAATAATAATAATGATGATGTGGAAGTTGCTATCCAAGAAATGCTGATTCACTGGTAAAACCTGGATTAGTTGCTGTACAATGATTTGGAGCATTGGAATAGCAAAGTCAACAATGCAATAGAGAGTGGGGGTATGATTTACTAAAGGGGCATGCAATGCAGCTGGTTTCCATAATGAAATTAGTAAGTGGCTAAGTGCAAAGTGGGATGTGCGTGTCATTATGTGTGCATGTGTGTGTGTGTGTGGGGAAAGAGCACGTTCATTTTTTCTTTTTTTGAAAGGTGAAGAGCGCAGCACGTTCATTGTTTTAGGACAAGTTACTTATGCGCGTGAAATTTTTGCACACTTGCAGGTGTGCTATGAACGCGTTTTAGCGTATGTGGTAGTGGGAACGTACCGGCCCATATATGTTTGTCAGTGGAGTGGAGATAGAGAGAGAAATAGATTAAATTTGATCATTATCTCATTTGTTAGGTCAATGGAGTGGACCATTAAATGAAGCTTCTTAGACCCGCTGAATGAGTTTCAACTCCTTTGTCTGCTGTCCATCTCACATCAATTTTTGAGAGAGAGAACCGCATTCTTGAAGTAATTGGAAACTTTATAAAAAATAAAAAACAAAAAACAAAAAATAAAATAAGAAGGTTTTTTAGACCCACGATTTTTTTTTTTTTTTTCAAATATTAAAAAAACATGCAATTAGGTATAAATTATTTACTATATATTTGAAATTTTTTTGACAAAGTTTAATATTAATTGCCACATTCACCACATTTACTGTCAAAAGAAAAAAATTAGCAAAGTTAATATTAATTGCTACACTCACTATCTTCACCTTCAAAAAAAGGTATTCACGTAGTGCTGAAAAACTAATAGTCACACATAAATTTAACTCAATTCAACATATTATTTTTATATATTTTTAGTTAAATTTTATCATAAAAAATAGAACATCCAAAAAAATAGTCACATGTTAATTTAAAGAGGATTTTGAAGAGGATTACGAGGTATTTGACTGTCTACAACCTTTACTTTTTAAGTGGTGATGTTACTCTCTTACAAATGGCGATATTACGTTTTTAGACTCCTATGATGTTACGTTTTAGACTCCTGTAATGTTATTTATAAATGGTGGTGAAATGTTACTTATAAATGGTAGTGTAATTGCCAAACACAGTCATAGTGTATATTAATTGAAGTAAAACGTAGCCAAACCAAGACT